AAGCTGCAATATTTGCTGAGCTGCTGGGGCAGAAAGTATGAAGAGAGAGAAAGTCTTTCAAGTGGCTGCTTGGAGAGTGGGAGAGGAGGTACAAGAACAGGACTAATCTGGACAATTGGCCCAGGCTTTTCATCTTAGCCTCACAGACTCACCAAAAGCCCTAAGAGACTTTGTTGAAAGGTAGTTTTGTGCTTTGGGGATTACCTTTTCCCCTGTTCTGTAGTGATGCTCACCTGTAATTATTGTGTGCACTGTGATTTGTTTGGGGACCACTCACAGTCCCCTAATTTCTGCAGGCTGCTATTTCAAGGCTCTTCTCTGAGATGTCGTCCTTTTTCCGTCTCTTCTGTCAGTTTGATCTCCATCAACACCTGTCAGGGGGTGTGGCACACTACCCTGCACTTGAGATCATAGTGGATTTGAGCACAAAGGACATGTAAATACCTGATTAGTACAAAGAATAAATAAGGGACAGGTGTTTGCAGGACGCCTCCTAGATTCTACCTTCATTACATTCATGTTCATGCTACTAAGAGTGCAAATCCCTGTCTTTCAGAAACTTCTCAACTGAATGCTGAGTGGAAACAGGCAAAGGAGGAAGGTTAGAACTTGTGAAAAATCTAAAGAGGATGAGAGATACGTGTGTGTGCACGCGCGCATGTGTACGTGCATACCTGTCTCTGTCTCCCTCTCATCCAGAGTCTCACCTCTCGATTCTGATTATTTCAGAGGCCGTTCCAGCTCAGGCTTTAGATTTTCATTCCCTCCATTGTTTTCCTTTCTGCATTTCTCCCTGTTTAGAGCCTGTGCCATTCCTTCTTCATATCTGCTTTGCAAAGACATTGATTTTTATTCTTCCCCATGTACTATAATACTTTTAATATTGCATGATGTTAATATTTCTAATTTTTCTTACTTAAAAACGAATGCTATAATTGTTTTGAGGTGTTTTATTTTTATCACAGTACTAAAAATATATAAGTATTTTAGTAATATTTTTAAGAGGAAGGTGCTATCTATAATTCTGTCATTAGAGAGATTCACCTTGGGGAGCTATGGCAAGCTGGAAAACGTGGCTAGGAGTATAAGGTGGCAGGAAGGGATCTCCTGCAGTTCTGTTGCAACTTTAAGTTTATTAATCAGTTACTATGTCAAGTCTTTTTGGCTTTGAACACTTTGAATTGTTAGTGGCAGGCATAAAATGTGTGAAAGGATATACAATTATGGTATTAGAGCAGGGATCTTGCCCAGGAGGCTCTGGTTTTGATACTGGATTCAAGTGCCAGATCTGTAATTTTTCATTTGTTCATTCATGGGCCAGGCAGTCTGTGCAACACAGTATAAAGAAGTTGTGGATGTTGAATTCACTGTCTTTGGTCTTTAATGAAATATAAATATGGTCTCTTAGAACATTTAAAATTGGTCTCGACTACACAGAAATCTCACTCAAACTGAATAAACCACAAAAGGTAATCAGTAGGCTCAAGTGACTGAAAAATTCCATGGGTAGAACTGGTTCCAAGCCCAGTTGGGGTCAAGAGCTCTGTCCTTAGGAGTCCTTCTTTCCCTCTCCTGGCTCTGCCTGCATGCTGCTGTCCCCATTCTCAGTCATACCTGCCTCGTGAACCGTAGCAGCTCCGTATTTATGTTCTACTGCTGGAGCATGGCCGAGGATCAGAGCACCAGTGCTTGGTAACCCTTCCTGGCAGGGCTGTCGTTGGCCTGGCTTGGTCCCGGGCTCATCCCTGGACCAATCACTGGACCCAGGAGACACAGCATTTTGATTGGTGAAACCTGGCTCACATGTTAGGGGTGGAGTTGGCCCCACAAAAATTAAATGGTTTTAGAAATGTGGTCCCCGGAGGAATTCAGGATGCCATTACCAGAAGACAGGGGAATAGATTCTAGACAGGAAAAATCAGTAGCTGTCTACTACAGCTAATGTTCTTATGACATATAAAAAATTAAAAAATCATAACTGAAGGAATATTCTCAGAAGATTTCTTCAGGAAAGGGTTTTGTGTGCTCTGAGTTTGCTGTAGTTTTTGTGCTTTTTGGCATGCTTAATAATAAAATTCAGCACAAATTCATCTATTTTTAATTGCCTCTATTATTTATGTTTTAAAATAATTGTTATTTTTTGACAAAATATTGATGTCTTCCATTTCTATAGGAAATCTATGGAATAAAGATTTTGTATTTTTAATATTATCTGTTACAAACAATGATAAAGTTAGAAACGTTAAGGGATGTGAAAACTCAGAAGATTGATTTTTAGATAGGAGTCTGAGCCTAGTGACCTCTGATAACTTGATGGTTAGTTTTTCGAGGACTAATTGTTCAGTGTATGTGTTGTCCTTGCTAATCCTAGTTTTACGGTTTCTGTATTTAACACATCTAGTGGCAGGTGTCTTGAACCCAGAGCTTCTCTCTGGGGTGTAGTGGATGGGTTACCGGTGTGGGGAGGTGCTGGTTTGCTCAGCTCTAGGGGCGGGTCAGGAGGTGGGGGGGCAAGATGTGCTCCTAGCCTAGAGCACCTTCCTGCTTTGACTGCTATTTGCTGTGTGAATATTAGTACTTTGGTTATGTGCCACGACACAGAAAAGAAAGGAAGATGGGGTACATCCTAAATTTTTTAGATAGCATTTGGTCTCATAGATAGGATAAAGGAGTTCCACGGTCATGGTTAAGGTGGCTCTTTGCATTTCATGTACATGTTGGTGGTATTTTTAGTCATGGATTAGTTATGTTTCTATTCTCTTCAACAGGAATCATTCTTGGATAAGCTTTGGGCATTTATGTTTTGCTAGGAAATCATTAGTTTTCTCTGTGTTTTCAAATTTGTTGCCATAGAGTTGCTTGTGGTATAACTGTTTTATACTTAATTGATTTTAATCTCTTCTGTATAAGTGGTCATGTCTCCTTTTAGAATTTTCAAACTTGTATAATGTTATTCTTTCTCTTTTTTCCTTTTTCAGGCTTGGGAAGGAATATATCTATTTTCTTCCTCCTTTTAAAAAAACTACCTTTTGGATTCCTCTGTCCTTTCTACTTTTTTCCCCACTATTCCATTAATTTCAGCTTTTATCTTTATTCATTCCTTCTTTCCTGCTTTCTTTTGGTACATTTTGTTGTTCTTTTTCTAATTTCTTAAGGTGGTGAGTACTTAGTTCTTGATTACATTTCCAGAAACTACACAGCTCAGTGGTTTGGAACTGGCTGCGGGGTGGGGCGTGGTTCTTCCTTCTGTAACAGGATTCTTACAAATTAATAGTATATAACTGAAAATGAGTGTCATATTAATGCCATTGAGAATTCACATAGCTCTGTACCAACCATTAGAAGTACTTCTTAAGCTTTCAAATTTTGTTGCGTGTTCTGTAAGCAGCAGAATTGTCAATAGGATTTATAGATTATGTCGAAGCTAGTACGCTAAGTCAAATACCATTTCAACAGAGAGATATTAGGCAAGAAGTTGTTTTCTTTCATATCTCAGTTGTCATTTTTTCCATTTCTAGGAAAAGATTTGATAATAACCTAAATTGTAAAGGAAATAACTATAATTCAAAATCATCTGTGATCCTTTTAAACATAGTAATTCTAAGTGAAATGGATAAGATGCAGTCATCTCTCTTCTCTTTCTGAGAACCGTGGGCGGTCACTGGTCTATTCTGTGCACAGAAGCATCTGATTGCTCGTTCCCTCTTTGTTTGCCACATCCTAAAATATTATATTTCCTCAATTATGAAGCTGTCCTGGGAGCAGACAGCTTGTTGTCATGACCAGACTGATTTTTTTCAATGGGGTGAAAGCAGGGTGCCATCGTAAGAAAATACCTGCCCTTCCAGGATACCACACATGTTCTCAAAGCCATTAAGAGCCCATTAGAAAGAGCCCATTCTTACTCTGTTTCACTAACTGGAATTTTAACATTTTCCACCTGAATTGCAGTTATTTTTTATGCTTTGGTGAAGGCTGGGGGAAATCAGCTATATTATACCTTTATTACCATCATTATTTTCAGAATAAGTAGAGTTGTTCTTTCATTCTTATGCCAACAAGTAAGACCCCCCAGACTACCATGAGTTGGGAAAATATGTAATACCTGGAAAAATTTTTGTTTAACTAAAGATAGAGTAAATTGAAAAACTTATTTGTGATTAAAGAGAAGAGTTGATTAGGTCAATTCTAGCAACCATGAAGGTAAATTGTGGTGTTTTATATCTCTATGCTTTTACTTTACCCTGCACATTTGTCAAGTTGCTGGTGGTATAATGAACTAAAAAGTTGTCCTCATTCAGATACCAAATTCTTGAAGACTCCTTCCCACTTTAAGGGGGATCTCTGTGAGTTCCTATTCGATTGCAAGAGACCATTCTGAAAACTCGTTTGCTAATGCCTGGTATTGACCCTTTTGCTACTGGACATTTTGAGTTTAATTATTTTGAAAGATAGTATAATAATACTCAAACAATGACATGACCATCGTGTTGCTCTTATAACTAATTGAAATGTTGCTTAATTACCTAATTTAAGCCAGGCTGCATTAATAGATAGTGTTGATACATAGATAATAGGCGTAATTCCTGGCTTAATGGAGCTTAAAGTTAGTGGAAGAAACTGATCAATGAATCAGCAATTAAGAGAAAAAGGAAAACTGCTATGACAGGTGTAGACGCAGGTGCTGTGGGAACACAGAAGAAGCAGTCCTTGCTCAGATGTCGGTAAAGGTGGGTGACACGCTGGGAAAGTTTGTTGGAGAGGGTACTGCTTGATTGTGTGGTATAAATTCTAGCCAGCCAAGTAGAGCAGGAAAGTAGAATGTTCCAGAGAGAAGGAGCAGTATGAACAATAGAGACATGAAACTTCATGACAATTTGGGGGAATTGGAGATGGGCAGAAATAGGAAAGAAGGACAGATAAGAAACCATATGTAGAATGTATTGAACTTGAGCTCTAATAATTGTTAATGGCTGTTTTCTGTCTTTTTAATTCAGGTGAAGGAAATGCTCATGGCCAGTTGTCTTAAGGAATATTCTTGAAGAGGACAGAGGTATACAAAATTATTACAACAGCTGAGAAGCAAGTTGGTTTTGGAGAAACCACACTCTGAGGATGTTGTTTGCTTTTGGTTAAAAAGAGAAAATACACTATAGAAGAAGCCTTTATATCTGCATTTAATATCGCATTGTAAATAACAATGTAATTAGATTTCCATCAGTCTTTCTGGTGAGATCAGAGCTTCTTGCCTCAGTAGACATGAGTGACCCAAGGCAATCACAAGAAGAGAAGCACAAGCTTGGCAGAGCCTCTGCGAAGTTCAAAGATTCTCCCAGAATCATGCAGTCCGATGACTATTTTGCTCGAAAATTTAAAGCCATTAATGGCAACATGGGAGCCGCCACTTCTTTAAATGCCTCAAATTCCAACGAGGGTGGTGGTCCGGCTAATGGTACCCCAGCTGTGCCCAAGATGGGTGTGAGAGCAAGAGTGTCTGAGTGGCCTCCCAAAAAGGACTGCTCCAAGGAGTTGACCTGCAAGGCGCTGTGGGAAAGCCGGTCTCAGACCAGTTACGAAAGTGTCGCGTCCATCGTGCACAATGGGCAAAACGACCAGAGCGATGGTCATCAAGAGGAGGAGCTGGACCTAGACTTTGTGGAGGCAAAGTATACAATCGGAGACATCTTTGTTCACTCTCCTCAAAGAGGACTTCACCCCATAAGACAGAGAAGCAATAGTGATGTCACCATCAGTGACATCGACGCTGAAGACGTCTTAGACCAAAACGCGGTGAACCCCAACACCGGGGCCGCCCTCCACCGGGAGTATGGAAGCACATCTTCCATTGACCGGCAAGGCTTATCTGGTGAGAACTTTTTTGCTATGCTCAGAGGGTACCGAGTAGAGAATTATGACCACAAAGCGATGGCCCCTTTTGGGTTCCCTGAGTTTTTCCCCTGCGACCCTGCAATCTCTCCCAGCCTTCATGCAGCAGCACAGATTTCTAGAGGAGAATTCGTCCGCATCTCAGGATTAGACTACATGGACAGTGCCCTCCTAATGGAGAGAGACAGGGACAAGCCTTTCAAACGGAGGTTAAAGTCAGAGTCGGTGGAAACATCCCTCTTCCGAAAGCTGCGAACTGTTAAAAGTGAACATGAAACTTTCAAGTTCATGTCTGATCTGGAAGACAGTCGTCTTGAGAGGGGCATCCGCCCTTGGAATTGTCAGCGATGTTTTGCACATTATGATGTCCAGAGCATTTTGTTTAATATCAATGAAGCCATGGCCACGAGGGCCAATGTGGGGAAAAGGAAAAACATAACCACCGGGGCTTCTGCAGCCTCCCAGACTCAGATGCCAGCTGGCCAGACGGGCAACTGTGAATCCCCTTTGGGGAGCAAGGAGGATCTCAACTCAAAAGAGAACCTGGATGCTGATGAGGGAGACGGGAAAAGTAATGACCTTGTCCTCAGTTGTCCTTACTTTAGAAATGAGACGGGCGGGGAAGGTGACAGGAGGATTGCACTCTCCAGGGCCAACTCATCATCTTTCAGCTCCGGGGAAAGTTGTTCCTTTGAATCATCTCTCAGCTCTCACTGCACAAATGCAGGTGTCTCGGTTTTGGAAGTGCCAAGAGAGAACCAGCCGATTCACAGGGAGAAAGTGAAGCGCTACATCATAGAGCACATTGACCTTGGGGCCTACTATTACCGCAAATTCTTCTACGGGAAAGGTAAGGAAGAGCCCTGAATGTGTGCTCGTGCATCTCAGGGGTAAGTCCTTTAGGGCCAGTTGTAATGTGTTGCTTTGTGCTGGAGCACCTTCGTTGGAGTGTCCAAGGCCACGGTTCACTGGGCTTGGGCTTCTTCTCTGTCGTGGACCCTCCATCAGTGCCAGACTAATCCCTTCTTTAGAAATCCACAATTTCCTGCCTTTGCTGATTTCTAATCCCCAATGTGGAAATGCCTGCTTTCTTTCTTTCTCTCTGCCAATTTGTGAGCATCACCAATGTCAGACTTCATTTAGATTTACCCCTGTTAAGATGTCTCCCCTAATTAACTCTACCCCTCTCTTATTCCTCTGACTCATCTCTTATACTGTTTACAGTGGATGATTCTGTGGGATTTTTTCTCCTCTAGTCTTTTCTTTACTTTTCTCCTACACCTTTGCTTCATCTTTTCAGTTTTACGTCATCATATCTCCTACTGCATTGCTGTATGCATGGCGAGTATTAAATAAAATCTTTGTTGAAAGAATGTATGAATTAGCATGTAGACAAATTTAGTTTTCTCACAGTTCTACAAATGGGCTTAACAGTTAAGAGATTAATAATTCTTTGGTGTTGTGATTTTAGAAATTCTTCAATCATATGTAAAATAAATTGTTCACTTTTGTTTATATCGTCAGTCTTGAAGGATGCATTCCTCAGAAGTCATGTAGTTGAATCCTCAGCCTTTAAATAAGCGTCCTCAGTTATTCCAGGGACATGAGAATCAGCTCTGTTTAAGAGACCTACGGAGAAACAGCTTCCACAAATGTCAGTAACACACGCCAAATAAAAACACTCAGAGTATCACGCGCTGCCTTCTTATTGGGTGCAGCTTGCTTCCTTTTGCCCTTTCTTTATAGGGCAGCATACTTTTCCGGCTATGTTTTTCTATTTTTGGTTCCCCCTCCTACCCCTCCTACATTCCCAAGGTATCACTCTTGGAGCACCTAAGGAGGCAGGGGTGGGCCCAGCCAGTCTCAGGGCACTTCTCCTCCTGTCCCTTCATGAATAGACTATTCTGCCACTGGTGTGGATAGTTGTGAGCTAACTGTACGTTGAATTTGTTTAGTGTTGGTTTCTGTCTTCAGAATGCTTGTGTGTAGTCTTTGACTCCAGTTGTTTCTTCTTTAGGGTGGGCTGGGCTGTAACTCAGACCCCAGGAGGTCACTTTGTCTGCTTCAGTCCCTGAGCCTTTTTAATGCTTTTCCCCATGGATTACAGGCTTAAAATAATTTGTTTGCCAGATAAATTGAAATTATTAAATTAATAATTTGGGTTTTTTCCCCCATTTTTGCATCAGTCCAGATTTAACAGGTCATCCATGGCTATAATATTATGAAATCATGTAAATCAGTGGAATGACTATGATGTTGGATATAGCTAAGTAAGGGGGCACTTGCATTGCAACTGGTCACACAGTTCGAGTTGTCTCTCTGCTCTCATACTGATGACATAATAGACTGAAATAATTCTGTCAACAGGTCTTGATTTCCCAGTTGTGTTCCCTCCCTACCCTTCTCAGTCCTGGCTTCTGGTGTGCATCAGCATTACCATCATGAGGAACAGGCTTCCAGCCAGTGAACTCAACCAATCTTGGGCCTTCTTTTTAGTCTGTGCTGTGAAATAACTCATAGCCCTCATACCTGTGTTCAGCCAGGGGCAGCACATTATAAGACACTGCTCAAGAATGGTCTCTAGGTGGAAGTCAGTTGTTTTTGGAGACCATGGAGAAATAGGCTTCCTAATTAAGATGTTTTTTTTAATTGATGAAGTCATGGCTGTCAATGCTGGCTATAAAGTAGTCTCTTAGAATTATTATGCTCTGCAATCCTCAGGCAGTGAGTCATTCTGGTGAGCTGAGTTTTGTAAATAGTTTGTGATTCATCCTTTAAAATATCGGAAGGTAAGAATTATATATGTGTATATATATGTATACATGCATATTTATGCAGATACTTAACCCCAGCATCTCATTCATACTCTACTGCATGTATTAATTATACACTTTGGTGTATATGGAACGAAAAGCTGATGTTTTCTGCACCCAGGGTCACCACCGTTTGATCCGTTAATGTCCTTAGGGTCTGTTCCATGAGATGATTTTAGGTTACTAGGTTCTGTTAGTTCTCTTGACTGCTTTTTGTAGTTTTTCTCTTGAACTCTCAACTCTCACTTCCTGAGAGTTTTAAAGAGTTGTCTATGAGTGGTTTATTTCCTCCTCTCTTTTTGATTTGCTACTTAGAATTTTCCAGTGCATTGGAATTGATATCAGAAAACTTGTTAGATTTGAACGTGAAATAAAAAATAAATCAGCTCCAAAGAAGAATTGGAGAGTAGAGGCCCTGGTGGGTGTATTGTGCCTGGATGTAGACATACGGTTTGGCAGTTCAGGGCACTGGGCTCACTCTGGTTCTAGGCTTTGCTGTGGGTCTGTGAATAAGCCAGACAGCTGAATTCTAGACTCCTTTGCAAAGCCTGCAAAATGAGAGCATGGGACAGCGGTCCCTGAGGTCACCTTGTCATCAGTGTTCTGCGATTCTGCGATGTGGAAGGTGCTGTTGTGCCAACTAATGGGATCTGGGGCTGGGACGGAGCAGCCACAAGGAGAGAGAATATGACTGAGCCCAGCCCCTCTGCTCTCTCGCCGTGCAGCCATGAACTGTGCCTGTTTCCTTCTATATTTAGCTCTTCCCCTGTGGGCCTGTGTGACTTCAAAATATAGTTGGCTACAATAGCATCGCTGCTGCTCTGGCTGGTCTCGTTGTAGAGTCATTAGGGATAAAAGGCAGAGGCAGCAGCCCAGATTCCCCCATGGGCAGGTGGGCCTCGGCCTCCTGTGGCATGGGGAGTGGAGATGGGCAGCCAACTTGCACCCTGGCCTCCACCACTGGACCTTGTATTTGCAAACACATCACAAGTTGCAGGAACGTCATTGTGTTTAAAAACAGAGGCCTTGGGCTGACTGGCATAGACAGGGTGTTTTTGCAGGCAGGTTTTTCTTTCCCTTTTTCTCTTTGGAAGCAGGCTTTCAGGAATCTTTTGATACTTTCCAGAATGCCTTTTATTTTTCACGATTCTTCATTGTTTTGTATGAAACTTCATTTTCAAAAGGATTAAATAGCTCCCAATCACGGGGAAAAGTGTCAAGTACAGAATTTTAATAATGGGGTTTACTCTTTATTAGGTAGTTAACGTGAAATGATGCTTTTTATGCTGAGGGTGTTCCTGTGACTCATAGTCGAGGAAAGGCTTTTTAATAACTTTGCACAAGGATTTATGCAGGGGCGTGGCTTGCCCCAGTAAACTGTGGAGCAACATTGCTTGTCCAGACAAATCCGTCTGTAGCCTTCAGTGAAACAGCTTTTTAAAAGAGAGTGGGGACTGGAGCAAGCACAGTGAGTGTCCATAACGCCCCTTACTTTTGCTGGAGATGACCATGAAGAAGAGCTGGTGCCGTTTCTCTGAGGGAACTCCTGCTGAAACCCTGGTTTCCCTCTTCTCTGAGCTTTCCATCTGTGGGACAGGCTGTGAAGAAGGGCCCCAGAGACAGGGATTCTCGCTCTGTTTGTTTGAATACTCTAGTTTCCATTGTAGCACAGCAGCAGGGTTTGCCTTCTCCTGGACCTCCTTGGCACTTAGCCACTTAGAGCTGCTGGCCAGCAATGGGCTGTCCCCAGTGTGGCCAGAACCAGAGCTACACAAGACAGCAAAGGGATGCCGTGGATTCCTGCTTGGTGACAGGTCTTGTGCTTTTTAGGAAGTGGTGCACCCACGGCTAGCTTAGGAGTTCTGAAACTGTTCTGTGCCTCCCTTCAGGTCACACAGAGGAGAATAGCTCTGGAAGGCGGAATAAGTCGTTTTGGGGTAAAGAGAGGTCAAACCAGAGAGAAGGATAGAACTGGACCTCTTTGGTGACTCAGGAGCAAAGCAAAAAGTGGCTAAGTTGCTGTCCGAGCCTTTGGGAACTTTGTTTTACGAGAGCCACTCTGCTGGTACAGGAATCCGTGTTCCTCTGCATGTGGGGGAGAAAAATACTGATTGACGATATATACCTTTTTTGGTTTAGAATTTTTAAATGGCGTATAAGTATTATATGATCATTATAGGAAAATAAGAAAAGGTAGAGAAGCAAAAGAAAAATAAATAAAATCACCCCAATCTGTAAGAGATAATCACCATGAACAGTTTCTCTTTATCCTCATAGTTTTTTCTGATGCAAATAAATTTATGTAAATGGAACCTTCTATTGCTATTGCTGGGGAATTTGCTTTGGATGATCATCCATCCGTGTCGTTATGTATTGAGCTGCATCAGCATTTTAAGAACCATCATCAATTATCGTTATCTGCCATGGGTGCTTGGGGAGATGCCAGGTATTGGGCAACCATGATCTGGGCAGAAGAGTTAAGGACTGTGTTTGCTTTATGTCGGACAAACTTCTATCAATTTGATAGAAGCACAGTGATAAAGGGACATGTATTTCTTACCCTCTTAGTTGCAGCACACCTATAAAATGACTCAGGCTAGATACATTAATGAATGTTCCTTTTAACAAATAGATCTTTACTTGAAAAGTACATTGTTATAAACGTTTTTTAAATTTCATAAAATTTGAAACATTATAAAAATTTGTCATAGCCTCCCCCTTCTCTACTTGAATGTGGGCTCTGCTTAATAACTCACTTCCAAAGGACAGAGTATGGACAAAGGGTGCAAGTGACTGCAGGGGAGAAGCCTGGCAAGCACCCGAGCCGGGTGACCAAGGTCAGCCTGGTGACAAGTGAGGTGGATAGTTTGTGCCCTTGAAATGATGGGAATGGCATTTCTGTGGTCTTCCTCTCCAAACCCATAACCTCAGTCTGATTAGGGAAAAGCATTAGAAAAATCCCACCTGAAGGACATTCTACAGAATCCCTGGCCAGTACTCCTCAAAACTGCCAAGGTCATCAAAAATAAGGGAAGTC